AGCTTATTAAAGGGGCGGAATTGATGCTACACCAGAACACGCTTATGAGCACCCGGATCACCGAGCTTGAAGAGCAAGTAGAGGTGCTGACTCGGCGGAAGTCGCGCAAGCGAAAGCGAATCCAGCATGGCGGTACAATAGAGTACGGCGAGGGGGCAGCACAGGCAGCTGCTGAGGCCTCTTTAGTGCCTCAGCGATCCAAGAAGGCTCAGGTTGAGGATAGTCACCAGACGTCGCAGCTAGGTGTACGGTGCTGTGGGAACTGCGGCAGGACTGGGCACAACGCACGAACATGCAAGAAGGATACAGAGGTGTCTTCTAAGTTAGATGGAAGTATAGTATACCAAGGTTCTCTCTTTAATAGCGAATAATATGGTATTCTATATAATGAGTTGGTTATGCCAAGAGATTCTGTGACACTCGGTGGTATGCGACACTCGGTGGTGGAATACGTTATCTCTTTATTTTACCTAATGTGACGGCTCAAGGCTCCGCTTGGCTGAACCACTTGGTTGTGTGGTTGCCTTGATCAGTCACATGGCTCAAGTCACATGACTGTCCCTTTCACCATCTCATCTTTTCTGCACTGGCTTTCTGCCAAGCCAACCGCTCACTTAACGAGCGCACTCAGTGTATATAGATCGCGTGGTGGAAGCAACCCTTTGCTCTCCACCTTTGGATAGCTTGAAATAGATCCCAACCTACCCAGCTATTCTCCCTTGTCTTACGCAGTTGCAGTGCAGGCCTCGGAGATCCAGCCGCTTGTGAAGACCCAGGGACCATCCTCACACCTAACTTAGGAATAGGTAAAGTTTAGTACTATAGGAGTATATCTAGATATAATCTTTATACTATAGCCTAACTACTCTTTACTTTCTACCTAATAAAGCTAACATGTTTCCTAAGCGAGCGGCCATTCCTAACCGAACGGCCACCCTCCCGAAGTCACGTCCAACATCAAACTCATACCGCGATATCTCTGCCATACAATGCGCAAATGACTTCAAACGAAAGTTTGCTGCAGCTCGCTATCCTTGCTCTTAAACAAAATGAAATTGAGAATATAAAACTGTCAGATTTGATGGTATCTGAAGATATCATGGTGACAGAAAGATTGAATGAAGATGGGTTGACTGATTGTATTCAGGTGTGTGCCTGTCTGTGTGAGGCTGGGACCTGACCCCAGTTTTGATGTTCCTTCTCTGGGCACCAAGGCTGTGCAGGGCACTAGCCACTACAGAATCACTAGCCACATGTTCTCAGACAGTACCGGTACAGACAGTTTCTCCCAGTCCTCCTCTCCAGTCTCAGATGGGATATCCATAAACTGGCTTACCATCTGATACACCCTCTCAGCTTGGAACCCATTGCAAGCTGGACCCAACAGCATCTCCTCTTCAGAGTAGCATGTCTTCCAACTTGCCTTGCACTTCATCCAAGTCTATCTCCTTCAGGGCATTTGAGCTCTTCACTCTTTGTAGCCTCAATTGTTCTAAGAACCTATTCCACTTGTTCCCAGGTAATACCTTTGTGAACCCATCAGCCAGCATCCTCTCTGATTGCAGATACTCAATCCTGATGATCCCAGATGATATCTCTTGCCTCAGCCAGTGATTATAAATGTCCACATGCCTGAGCTTAGTCTGCAGCCTTGAGATCTCTGCATTAGGGTTAGGGTTAGGGTTAGGGTTAGGGTTAGGGTTAGGGTTAGGGTTAGGGTTAGGGTTAGGGTTAGGGTTAGGGTTAGGGTTAGGGTTAGG